CCATCTTCACTGCCAGCGACAAGCAATTGGCCATCCTGTCGAAAAGTAGCACAGTACGCTGTGTCCTTAAAACGGGAAAAGGTTTTTATAGGTTCTTGAGAGTACCGGCCATAAATGTGGATCTGTAAGATAAAAAGCAGTATTTCACTAGAAGGAAGGCCCACGCTCAGCAGTAAACCCTATCACAAGAGCAAAGACGATCACTTCTGCACTTACTCTTGAAGAGGCTGTGACTGCGTAGTTATATGGAGGCTGAGGAGAAAAGTCTACTTTGGACACCGCACCAAATTCCTTAATCTGCACAGGAGTCTTAATGAAAAACAAGAAGAGTATTGGCAGAGTTAAAAAGGGCGAGCCATAGTTAAGCATTATGCTGTTTCCTGCGGACTGTTTCCTTTTGTCCTTAGTACCAGTTAGTAGGTTGTATTACAGAGAAATACAAGGCAAAGAGAAAGGCAAGGGTGAATCAGAATCCACTCTGCTGCCCACCCCCCAGCCTTCCCTTTGACACGCCAGAAAATAAGGACAGCTGGAGAGCAACATCCCACTGTCTCAGAGGCTGACTTTATTCCGGTTCCCACCAAGAAAAGAACGAGCTAAGTCTACATCAATCAACTATGATTTTAAGTTAATACAAAGATGATCAGACCATGTAAATGGATCTTTATCTTTTTTGCGCCCACTAACCGACTTTAGCAATCTTTGTACATAAGCAATAAATTTACCATCCATTTTTATAAAGATATACCACAATTTACGGAGCCAATCCAAGTCTAATGAACATATATTTTAAGAATTCCAATATTACAGTGGATACATCAATAAACACTTTTACATGTCTTAGTAAACTTTTCAAAGTAGGCCATGTTTCAAGCTATGAGTACAGAGCAACAATGTTTTTATAGTTATGACATTTATTGTCAATTCCCTCCCTCAATTTTTTTTCATCTATGCCAATATAACAAAATAAACAGTATCTAAATTGTTATCTTATTTGGTTTTATGTTGTGCTTTTTTTTAACCTTATTTATTTGTATTTCTGTGTATGTGTGTATCTGCTTGTCTAAACATGCACGTGTGAAATGCCTGCTGAGGCTAGCAAAAGATGTTAGATCCCCTGGAAACAGAGTTAAAGGCAACTATAAGCTGCCAATGTGCTGGGAACTGAACCCAGGTCCTCTGCAAGAGCATCAAGTGCTCTTGATTTCCTGTAGCCGAGACTACCCTCAACCTCCCTGAGTAACTAAGAATGACTCTGAACTTATCCTCTGGCCTCCAGCTCTCAAGTGCTGGGATTACAGGCATGTACCACCAAATAGGTTTGTGCAAGGCTGGAAACTGAACCCAGGGCTTATACATGCCAGGCAAGCACTCTACCAACTGAGCTACATCCGTTTTTGGCTTGTGAGTGAGGCTCAGTCTCTTTATATTTTTATTATCCGATTATATTTCATTTTCCACAAACCTAATTCCAAACATTTTCTAGTTTTCTAGGTTCTCAATTAAAAACAAACAAACGAACAAACAGAAAACATTGCAAGCCTAATTAGAAGGTACAGAGAAGCTAATTTCAAAATAAGAAAAAGCAAATAAGTTTTCCTGCATATAAGATTCAAGTTTTACAGTTTCATTTGCCATCACACACATGTTCTACATTAAGCATCTGCATGGCTAAAATAATTAAGTGGTATGGATTTTTACATGACACTCTAAGAAAAAATAGATAACAAAGTATCCACTTGAACTATTATTTAGTTAATGGTTCTGCCTGCCTAAGCTGGAAAAACTGATATAAATGGATACAAAAATGTCCAAATTCCCTCCTCCCTCATTTCCTCTCATTCTTTACCTTATAATTGTTCCAGTACAGAGTGTCTTGGGTGATTTTTTCACCAAGTACAGGATATGTCTGAATTGCTACAGGTTTATAACCAGCCATGATTTCATATAATTCCACTGTTGTCCAGGGGTCAATAATCTGGAACTGATGTCAGGATAACTGCAGCGACTCTGCCTTATGTCTGAAAAAGGAACACATTTTAAAGTACATATTGTTTATTAACGTTCACCTACAAGTATAATTCTCCTTCTGCGTTCTTTCAAAGACTGTGTGGAACTTCATAGATTAATGACCAATAAACCATTTCATTAGAACCCTAGAAGAGAGAGACACTTAAGAATATAGATCAAGGGTACCACAGTGCACCATCTGTACATACTGGCTGTATATGTATGTTCTCCTCAAACCTCCAAGAGCAGTCTGCAACACTTGAGAATAAATATGACTCGACATTGCAAGAGGCGAACCAGAAAAGCATGCAGGCCTACAATATTCATTTTCTTGACAATATTCACTTTCTTCTATATTTCTAATAGAGAATTCTAATATAGAATTAGAAATATAAAATTATCTCTACAGACTTGACTTCCTAAAGAAAAAGATACCAAGAAGAAAGTAAAACAAAGCTAATGTTTTAGTGTAGAAGCCTATGATGAAATTAGAGATAATGTGCTGACATAAGGCATACAATTCAATGTTAAAAGGTTTAAACTGAAATAGAGCAAACTTAAAATGGGAGAATAGGATTTAAAAAAAAAATGAATTAAAGCTCTTAACATGCAATGAAACTAAAACATCTTCCAAGAAGCAGTCAACTGAAGACAAGTCATCAGGTGATTGGTACCAGTGATGCTACGCTACATCCAGTCTGAAAAGCCTGCAAGATGACATCAGTAATGCCAGAAGTAAAAACAGTATGATATGTTTTAACTGCTATTTTGATGAAGCAAAGCAAACCAAGATTCTATTCAGTCAAACACGTACAATGTGCAAGATAGCATTCATCACTGGGAATACAAGGACAATAAACAGATATGATCTATACCTTCAAATACTCGAAATGATTGGGCCTATGAGGAATCCAGACTTAGCTTTCCTCCTCATTCCCAAGACTCAAAGAAGCACAAAAATTTCATCTCTCAAAGATTTCTTTATGTGCAAGTGTGTGTGTGTGTGTGTGTGTGTGTGTGTAAAGCCAGAGAGCCTTTCTCTACAGTGCTTCACCTTATTTCTGAGACAGGATGAGGTCTCTCATTGAACATAAAACTCACCAACTGACAATAATGCCTAGCTAGTGAGCCTGACTAGCAAGTCTGGGGGATCCTCCTGTCTCTGGCTCCCAGCACTGGGATGATAGAAACACTCCAAGGCCTCCTTTTCCCCTGGGTGCTCAGGATTGACCCCACTACATCCACGAAGACGTCTCCCCAGCCCTTAATCTCTCAACTATTTCTAAACCTCAAGTCCACGTAAGCCTAGTTCAATTGCACTAACTTGTGTCTTTTTGACTACTGAAATAAAAGCAACACCATTTGAAAGTCTCCTGGATGCCCACATCCATCTTCCAAATAGTTACCAGTGCACTACAAAACTGAACACGGCCCAGAAAATGAAGCTAGCTCCATAGCATGTAAGGTTCCCTTTGCTCTGGCCTGTGTCACCTCTTGCTATTAACCAACTGTTTACCATTCTCTAAACTCAGCACATTCATTCATTCATTCATTCATTCTTGCTTCAACACATGCTCTCCACCAGGAATGCCCTTTCTATCTACTAAGGTCACCAAAGGAAATCAGACTGTCCTTCAGAAATTCCTCCTGCCTTCTGAGACTGGGTGCTCTCTCCCACGATCCTATTTGGCTCTATTTCTGTGAGTGCCCATAATCACACTGCATTGTAATAACCTCTTTTTCCAGTTAAATTGAACAATATATTGGAAGTATTTGCTTGGGAAAATGATTAAATATATTGAAAATATAGTCAAAATCAATAGCGGTCTATAATAAGAACAATGCTATACAGCATGTGTTCAAAGTTACTTTCTATCAAGGGACAACCAACAGGCAAAATAGGGGATGTTCTATGGTTAATGGCATAAGAAGAAAAACTCACAATTTTTACAGAGTTCCCCAATAATCACAGAAACAATCGTTGTTGTTGTTGTTGTTGTTTGTGAAAGAGAGAAGAATTCTTTGAGGTCAAGGGCTACTTCATTTAATTCCCACCAAATCACTGTACATATGACAGGATGTTTATCTGTTTTAAAAAAAAATCTTAGTTCACTAGATACACAAAAACAAGCACCTGAATAGATCCAAGGAAGAGTACCTCCTAAGTCTATTTTTCAAGAAATAAAAGCATTTGGAGGAAAGAAGTGAAAAGTAGCAATGACTTGCTAGTTTAAAAAAATGAACAGTATTAGTGGGACGTGTGAAGGAAGACAGTGCAAATAGCGAGATGCTGTGAAAACGAATGAGAGAAAACTGACTGGACCAAAGTCAGGGCCTAAGAAACTGGAGTTCACTGAACAACCGGTATTATTACTGCAATACAATGTGTGATCAAATAAACTCTGTAATCAGAGTACTGAGAACATGGACGAGGAAGATATTTAATGCTACCTGGAAAGAGTATGCCATTTCAGCGGGGTCTATAAGCATAACATTACGTGATGGACATAAAAGGAGTAAGCCATAGCGCCGAGGGAGACGAATACCCGGCCATTCTCAAGTCACTAAGACAGAAGTCTGTCCTTGGCTTCGGAGAAGAGCGGGTTATTCCAGAGACTGACAGCGGTGGCTAGGAGAGCGACGACAGAGGAGCAAAGCCTGGGTCGAAATTAAATCGCAGGGACCCTCGGAGGCAGGTAAGCTCAGTGATCTGGAGCCTTGGGAAGCCCAGAGCAGCATGTCCGGCTTGTCAAGAGACCACAGTGAGGCCTGAGCGGAGCCTGGGCCGCCAGTGGCCATCGCCTACCTCTGCGGGGGCCCCGAGGGTCCGCCGGGGCACCCCGATCCCCAGGACGACTCCCCAGACTGGGCCAGCTCCCTACAGCGGACGTCTCTGCAGCACTCGCTCAAACTCACGCGGACCCGCCAGGAGCCGGAAACGCGAGGGCGCGGGAGCGCGTCGCGGGGGGATGACGTCACGGCGCGTGTGCGGCAGCCGTGCGCCGCCGGGAACTAGGAGGAAGGGTCCCCGGTGGGTGGAGCAGCCGGGGACGGGGCCGTGGGCTTCCCTCGGGCGACCCGCCACTGCGGTGACCCTGAGTTCTCTGCGAGCATGGGCGGCGGAGCTCTGGAGAAACAAGAAGAAGCCCCCGGAAGTCGTCTCGTCTTGGCTGCACGCTCTGGGCTCGTTCCAGCAGAGGAAAAGAAATAGGAAGTGACGTCTCGGCCCGGAGCAGGCCGGGCTCTGAGGACCTCACCCGATCCGCTGCCGGCCCTGGCCCGGCGGAGCCGCCCCTGCGGTCTCGGGGGCGTCGTGCCACCCGCCGGACGGTCCCCGGCCCCGGGATCCGCTCGCCGCTCGAGTGAGTGGAGGCTGCGGCGACCGAGCGGGAACGCCCGCCGGGACACCTGTCGCTTGGGAGACGTCTTTCAGTTTTGTGTTATTTTTTTAATAGCACCTTTCTCCTCCCGTAGGACAATTTCAAGAGTCAGGAAGAACGGGGAGCCCCTGCGATTAGCTTCCCCTGGGTCGGGGCCCACTGCCCGCATTTAGACTCTCCGACCTTCCCTGAGCTCTGGCAGGTGAGCCTACCTTTATGTTAGCTCTTGCTCGTCGCTGTCCACTTTCCCCTCTCCCGCACTTCACGTTTTGGCATATCCGCAGTCTTCCCTTCTCCCTGGAGTGGAGTCTAGCTAAGCGTCTCCCCTACGTTTGCTGCTCTTTCTTCAAAGAGTGGTAATTCTGTATATTGAAACCTTGACTTGTTCTGTAGGGGCTGCAAAGAACATTGGAGATGACTGTTTTTCCACCATTTTATAAAGGATTGAGTCTCGGGAAATTTATGCAGTGGGTGTGTCCAGCGCATCTAATTAGCAGATGTTGAGAATGGAGAACCAAATCCAATTAGAAAATGTGAGAAAGAAAATGCAAAAAGAAATTGTTCCAATTAAGATCAGAAAATAGCTATGTAACACCAGGTAGGTTTTGTGTGCGGTGGCTCCTAAGAGTGGTTAGGAGGTGTGGTTGTGCACGCCTTTAATCCCAGCACTCCTGAGGCAGAGGCATGTAGGTATAACACTGCGCTCTAGACCAGCCGGCTCGAATACAAAGTCAGACCTTGTCTCAAAAATAAAAGAAAAAAAAAAAAGTGGTCTCCATCTGCCAGTTTTTCCCCTTAGTGGGAGCTAGAAAGGAAGCGGTCAAGAGAATAGCAAGCGTTAAAAGAGACACTTGACATCCCCTCCGAGAGCTGCGGGGAGGGTGGATGGCAGTTGCTTTCACCCCGCCCCATGCCTAGACAAAATGGTTCTTCGTGCTGTGTCTTTTTAAAGACCCAGTCTTCTCTCCACTCCTCCGTCTCTCATTGAGTCACTGAACTAACTTTCTGTTCCTGTTGCCTTCTGACAAAATGTAACGACTTCGTTATGCGATACTTTTTCCGGACTATAGTGTGTCTGCCTCTCTCCCCTGGAAGTTTGGAATTCTTCTGTTGCTGCTTATTTAATGGCCACAGTGTTCGAGTTGATAGAGCAGGGGTTTTTTTTGTTTTGTTTTGTTTTGTTTGTTTGTTTTTTTTTTTGTTTTTTTTTTTTTTTTTGAGATAGTGTCTCTCGATTATGTAGCTCTGATTGTCCTAGAACTTTCTATGTAGACTAGGCTGGCCTCAAACTCACAGAAATCCACCTGTTGCTGACTTCCTAGTACCCAGCTTGGATAATGTTACTTACGTGTATATTTTCAGGACTATTTGGTATCACATAACCAGTCGGTATGCTCATCTCTGGGGAAGACTGTTTCTCCTGCTCTCTAGTGCTCCACCATGCCCAATAGGATCAATCTTCTGAAATTATTTTAAAACTCTGAACAGTGGTCATATGGCATCAATTCATTTCTCTCTTAATTCCAAGTAATTCTGATCATTGCTCACCCAGTACCCTTTCAAAATGTGCAACGTGCAATATGCTGTCACATGACGAAAATTGACTGGATGTTCACTTCTTCCTGTTTCAAGGATCTACATATCTGGGACTGTCATATCATATATCCTGCGATCCCAATACGTAATCTACATATTTTATTTTTTATTACAAATTACATCAAATTGTTTATGCTTACTCTGAGTAAAAGCTGACAAATATACTTTTGAGTCTTCAAAAATAAATTGTGTAGGTCCAGAGAGATGCCTCAGTGAATAAAGGCACGTGCTGCCAAGCCTGATGACTTGAGTTCAGTCCCTGAGACACACATGATGGACGGGAGAACCAGCTCCTAAAATTTGCCCTCTGACTTCTACATGCTTGCTGTGGTCCATGTGTTCCCACACACATGCAAACAAAATAAATAAGTGTAATAACTAATTTTTACAGTAAATTTAGTGAAGTGCTTTGCTGAATCATGGGTATTACTGAAAACAGTGCTAATCAACTTGGCTACAGATTGGTTATATCTCAGGTCAAACTGGGAGCCACTTACAAGGAACAGCATTTTTAAAAAACTAATCTCAAATACTAGCTTATTGTTTTAACATGAGCCTGATCCTTAAGCAGTAGTCAGTTATAGGAAATGTGTTGGAACATAGTGATGGAGGTGTACTGTATTTCCTTTGTCCTTTGCCAAGATCCTGTAAATTATTGACTAGAACTCTTCTTACAGATGAGACTTTCTCAGGTTCACTCGTACACATCACACAGCTAGTGAATGGTAAAGCTTGAGTTTATAGGCAGGTTACCTACCTCTGAATACTGTGTACTTTCTATGTTATAGGGGTTTAAAAGAGCACTGTTTGGTTGTGTGGTTGAAAGTGGTTGCGTATATACATTTACATAAGTTAATATGCTACTTCAAATTTTCTAAATTTGTTCTTTCAGATACTTTAATAACCCAGTTCCAAGAATACACTGGAAAACACCCTTTAAAAACTAAGAGGGATCCATGAAGAAATGTTTTAATTATTAAAACCATGGCTACATCAGCAAATCTGGACATTGGGGCCCAGCTGATCGTGGAAGAGTGTCCCAGCAGCTATGGTCTCTCTGGCATGCCAGACATCAAAATAGAGCACCAGCTGGACCCAAATGCAGAAGAAGCGTCAGCTCAGGGTGTTGCCATGGGAATGAAATTCATATTGCCAAACCGATTTGATATGAACGTATGTTCTCGATTTGTGAAGTCCTTAAATGAAGAGGATAGTAAAAATATTCAAGATCAAGTTAACTCTGACCTGGAGGTGGCGTCTGTCTTATTTAAAGGTTGAAAGTTATGGTACAACTCCCTACATTCACTTTCATTTGTCTGATTTTGTTCTGTTTTTCTCCGTCATGAGATCAGAGTTGAGGAAAAGCTTGAAAGTCATCTTTTAGAAAGATTTTCTAGAATCTCAAAGAAACCAACATTAAATTACTGTTAATTTTAAAAAATATTTCTTGTCTAAGCCAGTATAGTGACGTATGCCTTTAGTTAGTTTCAGCACTTGAGAGGCAGAGGCAGGTGAATTCAGAGCCAGACTAGTCTGCATAGTGAGTTCCAGACCATCCAGAGATACATAGTGAGACCCTGTCTTAATAAATAAATAAAATATTTGCCTGGTCTTTATTACAATTTCTCTAATTTGGTTATTCTTAGTTGTATCTGTCTGTCTATCTATTTATTTATTGGTATTTTGAGGCAGGGTTTCTCTGTGTATCTCTGGCTGCCCTAGAACTAGCTCTATAAATCATGCTGGCCTGGAACTCACAGAGATCCACCTGCCTCTGCCTCCTGAGTGCTGGGATTAAAGGCATGCGCCACCACTGCCCAGCCTAGTTGCATCTTTTTAAATAATAGAAAATATGTCTTTTCTCTTACAAAATTATTTTAATATCTCCTGTTTTGTGACTAATTTATATCTACTTCTACTTTAATTCAGTGATCTGTCAACATGCTTTAAAGTTACTTTGTTATCTGTTAATATTAAAACTAGTCTCAAAATTTTTCAACACTAATAATTTTCTTTGTAGAACTTACACTGTAGTAGTACAGACTATACAAAATTGGTATCACCTGATAAACACTTTAATTGAAGCTGTTAAACATCATACATTGCTTCATGTGAACATTGACACTTTTATTTAGAAAGCTTTGCCATTAAAATACTATTTTAATTTGTTTTATTTAGCTGAGTGCAATATCCATACATCTCCTTCTCCTGGAATTCAAGTAAGGCATGTCTACACCCCCTCTACAACAAAACATTTCTCACCCATAAAACAGTCAACTACTCTCACCAACAAGCACAGGGGAAATGAAGTCTCTACCACACCTCTGTTAGCAAATTGTAAGTATGCGCTAAGAATGACTAAAATATTACTACTAGTGTAATTAGCTAATGCAATTACAAATTAGGAGTTTGGCTTTGAAATATTAGTTTCACTAAATAAACATTTCAGTTTTGAAAGCTTAAATGATATATTAATCACTTTAGTAAGTTGAAACTTTTTCATGTGTTTTTATATCTGTTTCCTGTTATACCTCTATGAGGACAAATACAGTTTAAAATATTATTAAAACCTGTATTGTTTTACCATAAAGAAGTGAGTTACTGTGAATTATTTACAAGTTAAGATATCAATGTTTTTGTGTTCTTAGAGTTTCATAATTATTATAAATATGTACTTATATTATTTCACTGATCAAGAAATATTTTGTACTTAGAAACTAAGTAATTTCTACTGAAATGTTTCATTAGTATATAAATATGAAATCACCCTTTAAAAAACTTTGAATGTAAAGTCATTATATAGGATGTAAAGTTTCTCTACCTAAGCTAACAAGTATTCAGTGAAGCATGAGTATTTGAATGAGAGAAAACCAGCTAACAATTAGATGATAGTAACGGCATTTGACACTGTAATGGGAACGTGTCTGCATTCCAAAGCCTGGTGAAATCTGGAATCCCTCCAACTTCAGACTTGCGGACTCAGCAGTTGAGCCAGGAGACTCTTCTCTAGCACCCCAATCCTACCTGTGGGCCATTTCTAGCTTACTTAGATGTGTGTGCTTCACAGCTGCTTCTGGAGGCCGTATTAGTTAAAGGTGCTTCTCAGAGATTGTCTTACAATATTCCAACCATAGAACTTCTCTGCTGAAAAAAAAAAAGCTAAAGACTGTCCCCCATGTTATAAATACAAATGCTTAATCAGCCAGCCGGAGTTAACATGCTGACTAGACTAGCCTCCACTCCTGTGATTACAGAACTCAGAAGAATGAGGGAGGACAATAGTGAGACTATCTCTAAAATTAAATGTAACACACACACACACACACACACACACACACACACACACACACACACAAATCTTTCAAGGCCAGTTTCCTATTTATGAATTCATTCTTAATGTTAAGAAAACCCATCCAACCTCAAATATGTAGAGGGCTGGAGAGATGGCTCAGCGGTTAAGAACACTGGCTGCTCTTCCAGAGGTCCTGGGTTCAGTTCCCAGCACTTCCTTGGCTGTCAACCTGTAGCTCCAAATAGAGGGGATCCGAGGCCCTCTTTGGCCCATATGGGCACTGCCGGCAAAACCCCCAGTTGCATAAGTTTAAAAATACATGTACTTAGAGTTTAAAGGGCTGGGGAGTAGTGGTATATCCTCGTGGTTCCAGCCACTCAGAAGGTTAAGGTGGGAGGATTGCTTGAGCCTACATGCTCAGCTTTGGGCTGGGCATCATGGTGAGGCACTCAGGAAAAACAAGTTCTTCAGTGGAATCACTAAGAAAACTAAAAGGAATGTTGTGTCTTTTGGGGCCTCCTTCATAAGTTTGGATATGGACGTAGCATGTAAAAAATTAAGTACCTTATTCACTCTTTAGGATAAAGTTTGCCCCAAAATAGTAATTTGCAGATGTCATATCCTATGAGTCAGTTCTCAGAGAACACTACCTGTAATACTGGGGTACTTTGTTAGGTTAAAATGATAAGATTGGTCTTGTTTTGGAAAAGACACTGGCTTCACCATGGTACAATAGATGTGAATCCACAAGGTACACTTGAATAATTTTATCACTATATTGTTTCAGCCTTGTCTGTTCACCAGTTGGCAGCTCAGGGAGAAATGCTCTACCTGGCTACTCGTATTGAACAAGGTAATGGCCCAGTTTTAAGTATTATATTTTAAATATTCGTTTGAATTTATTAGGTTTGGTATTGTTTTATTTTTGTATAGGAAACTAAAAAGACAAAAGAAGTCATATAATCTCACCAAACATAACCCAATGGATAGCAAAAAGGGAAATTTTAAGTAATACAAACTATAAAATTTGAGGCCTTAGGGTAGCTCTGAGATTAAGAGCACTAGCTCTTCTTCCAAAGGACCAAGTTTAGTTCCCAGCACCCATATGGCAGCTCACGACTGTTCGTAACGATAGGGGATTTTAATGCCCTCTTTCTAGCCTCCAAGAGCACCAGGTACACATGTTATATGTGTATATATACACGAGGCACAACACCCATGCAAATAAAATCACTTGATTTGCCAGGCAGTGGTGGCACACGCCTTTAATCCCAGCACTCAGGAGGCAGAGCCAGGCAGATCTCTGTGAGTTTGAGGCCAGCCTGGTCTACAGAGTGAGATACAGGATAGGCACCAAAACTACACAGAGAAACCCTGTCTCGAAAAACCAAAAAAAGGAAAAAAAATCACTTGATTTAAAGTTTTAGCTTCCTTTACTTTTCCCCAAAACAAACATTGTGAGGGTGTTTTTAATTATTTATTTACTTTTATTTCATGTGCGTTCATGTTTTGTCTGCATGTATGTCTGTGTGAAGTTGTCAGATCCCCTGAAACTCGAGTTACAGGCAGTTATACGCTGCCACGTGGGGGTGCTGGGATCCTCTGGAAGAGCAGCCAGTGCTCTTAGCCACTGAACCATCTCTCCAGCCCCCACATTGTAAATTTTTTGTGTTTTCAGGAAATTTTTCTAGAAAACATTTCCATGTATGGTTATATTTGAGAATATGCATGTGCTTTTGTTAGGTACACAAGCAAGAAAATGTTACATACACTACAGTGTGTCTGTTTTCATTTAATATTTTGGAGAGTGTTTTACTAAAGCATACCAAAGTTGTTTTTTTTTTTAATTTTTAATGTGTGTGCATGTTTTGCCTGTATGTGTGTGTGTACCATTTGCATGCCTGGGGCCTGTGAGGTAAAGAGGATCCCCGGGCACTGGAGTCAGGATGGTTGGAGCCACCGTGTGGATGCTGGGAACCTGAGCCCTCTGCAAGAACAGTGAAGTTCTCTTAGCCACTGAGCCGTCTCTCCAGCCCCAGGATCTTTTGATTGAGAGCGAGTCTCACTATGTTGCTCAAACTCACATTCCTGTCTCCCCCTCCTGGGTGCTGGATCACAGACATGCACCTGCACACCCAGCTGTTGTATGCGTTGTCACTGTAATGCACATGTCTGTGCTGTGATTTCCGTGTGTGCTCCTGGCTGTTCATCTGGTGAGTTACAGATGTTTGCTGGCGGGCTCTGCATTCCTTATCTCCACTGAGTACATTTTCATACAGAGGTATTGCCAGGTCGCAACTAGATGACCTTGGTCATGGGGAGGGTTGAGTCGGCTCCTCACATGTGCCAGGCCAGTGCTCTACCACAGAGCACTCCTGGGCCTCTGCCTTCTTGTTTGTACATTTTAACTACATGTTTGGCCTCATGTTAGCGTTAGAGTTGCAGTTTCCCCAAACTGTCATGGGCACAGTGAGACTTTAATTCTTGGTTTTGTTTTGGTTTTTTGGGGGGGTTTTGTTTTTTTGTTGTTGTTGTTCGTTTTGTTTTGTTTTTTTCCAAGACAGGGTTTCTCTGTGTAGTTTTACCACCTGTCCTGGATCTCACTCTGTAGCCCAGGCTGGCCTCGAACTCACAGAGATCTGCCTGCCTCTGCCTCCTGAGTGCTGGGATTAAAGACGTGAGCCACTGCCTGGCGGAGACTTTAATTCTTACTAATCTGTGGGGAAAGTGGTACCTCACAGAAATTCCATTGCTATGTTTAAGTTATAAGCCCTTTGAGTTTCTTGTCTGAGCTACCTACAGTATATTTGTGTCATAGGAACTCCAAAGTGAAAGAAACTGACTTCTGTTGTTTTGTGCATTTAGTTTCCCCAGTTTCTCCATTTTTGGGTGACCTCTTCAGATTTTTAATTGTAAATTTGTGTTCTTTTTGACTTTGAAGTTTTATGTCCTACTTATAAAAAATTTCCCAATTCTAGGATTATAAAGAAACCACCCATTCTTACGCTAGAATTTATGTAGTTTTCCTTTTTTATAATCTTTGATGCATATGAAATACTTTTTAGTTTAATAAAGAATATGAAAACTGTTGCTTTTTTTTTTTTTTATGGCAATGGTGTTTTGCCTGCATGTATGTCTGTGTGAAGGTGTCGGATCCCCTGGAACTGAAGTTATAGACAGTTGTGAGCTGCCATGTGGGTGCTGGGAATTGAACCCGAGTCCTCTGAAAGAACAGCCAGTGCTCTTAACCAGTGAGCCATCTCTCTAGTCCCATCAGTTGCTTTTTTTTTTTTTTAAATGTCCCATCTTTGTTGATTACAGGGAACATGATCCAAGAATTTTATTTTCATAAGACTTGGATATATTTCTGCTTATCTTTAAATATTGAGGGCTGGAGTGATGGTTCAGAACCCAAGCACTGGTGCTGCTGTAGAGGATCCAAGTTCAGTTCCAGCATCCGCATTAGCTGGCTTATGCCCACCTGAAGCCCCTGGTTTTCACAACACTGCACTCACATGCACCCATACCCCACCCAACACATACATAATTAAACAATAAAAATAATTGTTTAAAAAAGTAGAAATTTCATGTTCAACCTACCAAATAAGTGTAGAGGGAAAGCTGTGCAGTTTATAACTGCTCGGCTACATTCAGGGACTAAGATGAGGTTCAGGGTAGAATTGTGTGATACTGTTTCAGATTATCCAGTCTGTGTGTTATGCCAGCAACTTAGGAATGAAAGAAAATCACAGGCTGCAAGTTAGCTAGAGTGGAAGGCAGCTTTTGTAAGCTGTTGAAGTTTTTAAATCTACATTCAAGTATGCTAAGGGCTATTGTCTATCAGTTTGTTGTGATCTTCCCAAGTATGTGTTGAGATAAGCAAGCTATTGATCTGTGTTTAGCAGAAATTAAGTCACTTGCCTAGACCCAAATCACTAGAATGAAAGGACCAAGATTCTACCTTAAGTCTCTTGTCCCTGAGACCAGTGTTACCAACCTTGTACCTAACATGATACTGAGTGTGGCAGTTTATGATTTACAGAATGTGTTCCATGAACCCACCCAGCTTTGTGCATGCAGTGAGGCACATTTTAACATGTCCAGACTGAAAACCACAATATCACATCCAGACTTCAGTAAACAAAAGTCATCTCATTGAACTTCATTGAGTCATAAGTTTTTAGAATACCAGTGCTTTCAAAGTGATACTAATATGTGGTTGTTAAATTAGATCACAAAAATTGCTTTTCTTTTAAATAGAAAATGTTATCAATCACACGGATGAAGAAGGATTCACTCCCCTGATGTGGGCTGCGGCACACGGGCAAATAGCTGTGGTGGAGTTCCTGCTTCAGAATGTAAGGAAAATGTGTGTGGGTGTAGTTTCTTGAGCTCAGTCTTGGAGGGAAGGGCTCCTGGAGGAGTGCTGTCCACTGGGCCTTTGCCAGAGTGAAGGAGAATGAGGACTGAGGCAGCTGGAGGGAGGGGGAGGGTAGGCATCCTGACCGTTTTGGTAACAAACACATCCATCACGTTTCTGTTATCTCCTCATTAACCCTAGAACGTGGCCTGACCTCAGTGTTAAACTGAATCATATTGACAGAGACAAGTGTTCTTGTTTAAGTTCATTGAAAGTCCTCTATGTTCACTTCCATGACAGGGTGCAGATCCCCAACTTTTAGGAAAAGGTCGAGAAAGTGCCCTGTCATTGGCCTGTAGTAAAGGCTACACGGATATTGTCAAAATGCTGCTTGACTGCGGAGTTGATGTAAATGAGTATGACTGGGTGAGTCCACCACACTGAAGTTAAAACTGCTGTAACAAGGCTGTACCTTAGAGTTAGAGTGCTGGCCAGCGCCATGGGCCCCGTGTGCGTCCCCAGTGCCTTATAAACTGCTTGGTGGTCAGCAGTAGCTCCCAGGAGGTCGAGACAGGAGGATCAAGGTTATCTTTGGCCTCATGAATACTTCAAGGCCACAGGGCTACTTAAAACCCTGCCTCAAAAATTAATTAATTAATTAATTAATTAAATACAATTATTGTAATAATTTTTAGGATTTAATTGATTTCAGGGAGATATAAACTTTATTAAGGACTTGGAAGAAAAATGTACTTAAGATGAACAACTTAATGTCATAAATTCAATTACTTGTGACTTAAATATTTTTCACAAAATATTAATATCATTTTAAACTACTTTTACATGCCCAGTTTCATAGCAGCATTTGATTGACTCTTGCTCAGTGAAAAATGATGATGACCTTTTCCTTCTTCAGAACGGAGGGACACCTTTGCTTTATGCTGTCCATGGGAATCATGTGAAGTGTGTAAAGATGCTGTTAGGTAAGCGGGTGAACATAGTCGTTATTTAGAGGGAGCCCTGTGAGCATTTTAGTTTAAATTTCCCTGTGAGGAGAGCTTACCTGTTGTTAGGTTGTATGACCCTGCAGGCGTTTGCCCCTGGGTTTTCCTTACCGCAGGGCTGCCCTGAGAGAAGCGGTTCCCTCACACTGCCCTCTGCACTTGAAGCTTTTGCCCTTCCCACTCGCTCACGTTGGAGGTCACCTTTGACTCTACTCTGGTGTGCTCTGGACACAGTGTCTTCACATATAAGTTTTGTCCAGTTGTTTATGAGTTTCAACTACTCTAGAGACAGTTGGGTATCCTCTCCAGCCCACCAAATGAACTCTGTGTATCCATGTGCTCAGTCGTTGTGTGAGCATGTTGGAAATAGCCTCCAGATTGGCTGACAATCTGTTCAGCCATTTGCATATGAGCCAGGAATAGACAGGCATTTGCATTTTCACTTTCTTTATCTAGATTTTTCTGTTTTGATACAGAAAATGGAGCTGACCCAACAATGGAAACAGACTCTGGATACAACTCTATGGATCTAGCTGTAGCTTTGGGCTACAGAAGTGGTGAGTGTTTCGGAACTCCCGGGTTCCATTTTAGGAAAACTTCATACATAGTACATGCGGGAGTCCAAACCTTCTTCATTGTTTCACGTATAAAACATTATGTTATCCTAACACCACACATATGCTTTAATGGAGTACAAAGTAAACAGATTCCTATAAAGTTAAATGAATTCATTCATCGTACTTTTTTATTAATAGTTACTGGAGGAAAAGTGGGCAGTATTTGCAAGATTTTCAAACATGTTTTTTTATAAAAAATGATTTCTATATCAGTATTGTACTTTGGGCTCTTCCCTTCTCTGGTTCTGCTTTGGTTCTGCGCTGTGACCTTGGTGGCCTGTCTTTGCAGTCCAGCAGGTCATTGAGTCACATCTGCTGAAGCTGCTTCAGAACATCAAGGAGTGACGCAGCGCTCAGAAGATGCCATCTGCCCTTCTCCTCACTCCTCGGTCCTTCTAAATGATAGTTTTGTTTACATGTAAATTTTTACCTCGGTTGCAATATTTGCTGGTTTTTAGTGAGTTTTAATAATTATTCCTCTGAATAATTCACTGGTTTATAATGAAATTAATCCTGATTTTTAAAAATAAATGTGTTTTACTATATATTTAAAGTTATAAATTAATGTTTTATGGCATGGAAACTTTTATGGTACAGGTGGTTATGTGTCTTTGTATCAAGTACCACAGTTTGACGCTTTGAGAAATAAATTCTACCTTGTTGATCTTCATTCCTGTATTAACTCTTTGACTTTGCACAAGGCTCACTGTAAGTCTTTGGGGGGGGGGGGGAAATAATGTTCTTGTTGAATTCAAAAGTACACAGTGTGATGGTTTACAAAATCATGTTTAAATAAAATACTTTCTGTCTGTTTGCATTCTGGCTCTTTGATTATATGTTTATCACAGATGTCTCCAAAATTTTCAGTTTATCATTTATGTTCTACAAATTTATCAACAAAGATTTATTGCCTTTATTGCCAGGCAGCGGTGGCGCACGCCTTTAATCCCAGCATCCCAGCACTCGGGAGGCAGAGCCAGGTGAATCTCTGTGAGTTCGAGGCCAGCCTGGTCTACAGAGTGAAATCCAGGAAAGGCGTCAAAGTGACACAGAGAAACCCTGTCTGGGGCGGCGGGGGGGCGGGGGGGGAGCGTTGTCAGTTCTGAAAATTGAACTCAGTCTTGGCAACAAATGTCCTTATTTGCTGAGTCGTCTCACTGACCCTGGGCCTGATTGTTTACATTTATACGGCAATTTAACAGTATAAATGACCCAAACCAGCAGGAATCAGGGTTCCAAATGGCAAGGTATTCTTGATTGGGAAGACCAGGGATGGGAAATAGAGAAGACAGATCAATAAGCCAAAAGCAGTGGCTGGGACCAGGAGGTCTTGCACAAGCTGGTGACTTATATGCCAAGCAAACATCATATATACTATTTTCTGGGGGTGGGGGGCAGGGGTAGCCAAGGTCAGGAGAAAACAAAGTCTGACAATGTTGGCAAGGAACATGGGATAGATACCTCAGACACAGCTCTCTAAGGACTCGTGACCACAGCCCAGCGGGGAGAATGGGTTCCCCCGAAACTGCAACCTTGACCCAACCTTGGGAGGAGGCATTGTCCCAGCCCTAAACTGTCCTTGCCAAGTCCACTCCTGGACAAGGACACGGAACTAAAGTTCCCTTTGTCCTTTCATCAGGGCCTCTGAGAAAGTCTTTGGTTGCTCTGGCTCCCTACTTATAAGCCTCACTTTTTTTTTTCCCCCACAAATCCAGAGCTTTCCATGACCTAAGAAATAAGGTCAAAACAATGAGTTTCTGCTCAGCAGTCTTCGGGACAAAGTGCAGGGCTTCTGAAGCCTGCATTATTTGTTCCTCTATTCTAGGTTAGGGCCCTAAGCCCAAGAAATTCTTTCCACACTGTACCACCATATCAGTTCATCAACCTAAATCCCTCTTCTCTTTGAGATCTGCACAATGTGCTAAAAGATCTCTGCCTTCTTTCTTTTAGTTTTTACATTTCCTTATTTGGAAAGATAGGGGCATGTGCTCGCAAGCACGCACATGTACCATAACACACATTCAAAGGTCGGAGGACAGTGTACAAGAGTCAGTTCTCTTCTTCCACCAGGTAAGTTCCAGGATTGACCTCAGGTTGCCCGGCTGGACCTGCCGTGGAGTGTGACTGCTGTTCAAGGGAGTCTATCACTGATATCATCAGCGGTGGGGTCTGGGACACCCTTCTTCAGGCTCTCTATAAGGCTCTACCCTTGAGAGGTTCCAGGCCTCGAACAGAACCTTCAGGAGTACTTCCAGTAAAGGCAGAACAATAGTGAGACGGGACAGGTAAAAGCCTGTGTTGTAGCACTCTGTGGTTATATCGTAAGCAGTCTGCTAGTGCCTCCCCTGAGGGTGAAAACCTATTTCAGATAGCAAGGCTGTTAATGAGTCTTGGAGGCCTTTCCACAAAAATGCGATCTGGAATGTTTACCCTCACAACATTTCACTAGTGGGAAGGCTAAGTGTCACTTCAAGGCAGTTATTCCTCCCATTCTCTCTACAAGTCAATCAGAATCATGTTCTTTTAATATCAGAGACATAATCAAGTGCATTAATAGGTTTTAGAGTTAGGAAATAAGTTACACTTCAATGATAGGTAAAGATGTTTCTCAGTTATAGACAGAGAGCCATAGGTTTAAAAAAAAAAGAACTTGCTCTATCTCACTCTCTCTCTCTCCCTATTTATTTGTTTGTTTGTTTATTGTTAAGGACAGAACCCAGGACCTTGCACATGCTGTTTGCTCAGCCTTTTGAGCATGATTTTTTTTCAAATTGTTTCCATTTGTTTTAAATGAAATTGTATTTCATGTCACAAACACTTGGCCCCAGCCCTGGGTTACATAAACCAGGCTAATGGTGGGAGAAAGTGAACAGTGTCTTCGGGAAGTGGAATTAGCATCAGCGAAGAAGAGATGAAGACAGTGATTTTTTTTGACACAGAGCATGAAAACCCTTTTTTCTTTCCTCTCTCTTTTTTTTTCCTCTAGAGCATGGAATTCTTAACTGACTGGAGGCCAACACATAGACAACAGACCAAACCAGGCAACCCAAAACCAAAAGCACTAGTAAGTGGGATTCTCTGTTACCTGCTACTGAGAACAGATCTCTGCTATCCATCCGGCAGGGAGGGATCACCAACAGCCAGACCACAAAGGCTAATCCCAGGCTGGAGAGAGGGCTCGGGATTAACAGCCCTTGCTGAATGATCAAGACAATGGGAGCTCAGAGAGCAGGTTCCGTGTAACAAGCCCATCTCTCTCTCTCTCTCTCACACACACACACACACACACACACACACACACACACCGCTACCTTGGGGGCTGAGGCTCGGGGCTGGCTGGAGCTTTCTGGATTCCAGCCTAGCCCAGACAACATGAGCCTAAGGTTCAGGGAGAGGCCCTGCAGACAGACAGACAGACAGACAGACAGACAGACAGACAGACAGACAGAAGGTGAGAAAGGAAGACACCTGGCACTCTCTCCAGGCCTCCATGCAAGCACACAGGCAAGGACAATCCTCTCCCATACTACATACACGTGTACATACACTCACACAGATACACACATGCACAAATAAACTAATAATAAAAAATAATTTTCAAAAAGCTAATCCCTGGTCACTTAGTCACTAGTAGGTAATATTTTCATGAATGTGTGCAAAGTTGAAAGAAACACAAATACATAAACTCTGAGGATGGTAGAAAGAACTGGAATCAGAAAAGCTAAATTTCTGTTGCCCCATGGGGTATTCTCCAAGGTCAAGGGAACATGTGCAGGTAAGTAAGTCTACGTGGCCCTGGCATATTAATACTATCAAATATAAGTAAATGACCTTTAAACTGTTCCAAGATCATTTTCAAAAGGTTACAAAGACAAGACACCCTCATACAACTAAAGCCAATGACAAACACTTTAATCTTCTCACGGAAAAAAAAAAGAAGTCAGTAAGAAGCTAAAACTAGCCGGACATGATGGTGCATGCCTTTAATCCCAGTGCTAAGGAAGCAAAGACAGGAGATTTCTGTGAGTCTGAGGCCAGCCTGATCTACACAGTGAGTTCCTGGACAGCCAGGGCTAGACAGAGAAACCCTGTCTTGGAAAAAAAAAAAAAAACCAAGCAAACAAACAAACAAAAACCCAAACAAAAGTTAAAACTGGCTCTGACCCCATATAAGAAACCAAGGAATTGGGGTGACCTTAAGACAAGATTGCTGGTCATATATAAACCTAGCTAACATCCAGTAGGAACCCAAACTGCATCAAATGGTTCATTCCCACACTACAGAAATTGTTTCTTTACAGATAAAAACCTCCAAAGTGGGGCAGGAGAGATGGCTTTTTTTTTTTTTATTCTCAGCGCCCACACAGTGGCTTGTAACCATCTCCAACTCCAATTCCAGGGTATTTGACACCTTCTTCCAAGCCTCCGATAGTATCAGCCATTGGTGTGCTACACAGATATACATGCAGGCAAAACACCCACACATGCAAAATTTTTAAAAAATTTAAAGCCTCTGAGCCGGGCAGTGGTGGCACACACCTGTAATCCCAGCACTCGGGAGGCAGAGCCAGGTGGATCTCTGAGAGTTCGAGGCCAGCCGGGTCTACAGAGTGAGAGCCAGGACAGGCACCAAAACTACACAGAGAAACCCTGTCTCAAAAAAACAGAAACAATAAAAGAAGGCAAAAATTTAAAGCTTCTGAAGTAACCTGTCATTCCACTCAGTCTGTGACCTTAACAAATAGTGAGTGTTGAATCAGATTCTGTCTCTCCAGATCATCCTCTGGGGGCCTTTGTCCCATATGACGCTGAAAGAACTTGTCACCATGACCTGCTAGGACTTCAGGGAAAGCATGGCTGTGGTTGAGGAAATCACCCTGGTAATTAATCCCCCTTCTTTCAACAGCTGAGGGGTAAATGAATACAGGTGCCCCGACGTGCTGGTGACAACGCTTGTCTTACATCACCCCGCTTATGAGACGGGGTAGGGGGTCCAGAGTCCCCTCGGGAGAAGAAGTGGCAAGCTGGAGATCTGCACGACAAAAGGTTAAGGTTTTAATATGCTTGATCTTTGTAAACATAAACGCCTGGGCTTTTAAGGAAAATAGTAGTGGATGGTTTTAACCATGCCGCTGGAGGGTTTTCCAAGTGTGTAACTCTGAAATTGTCTTTGGAATGTCAGTTAGCCTCCTGTATGGATAAGATTGTATGGTGGTACCTTTTAACACTTTAAATTCTGTTAACACAAAGCGTTCATATATTCTTGTACCATTGAGAGATGATATATAGATATACAGATAGATGGTAGGTAGATGATACATACATACATATGTACATAAGATGGATGCTTTGTGAGGTAACATCATTTACTATTTATATATCTAGTCAAGGAAAAGAATCTACTCTTATCCCTTAAAAGACTGTCTGTGTGAAAAATAAAATATTTATCAATCTGATAGTTTGAGAAAATTGCTACATAAACTCTGGCTATTATAATTCATAAGTATTCTTTTTAATCTTTTTTGGGGTCAAGTCTCAAATTACCTGCCTCATGACAGTCTCAAAAGTTTGCCTTCTTACTAATAAAATTCCCAATGGTAGTCATAACTTCTTACATTAAAAAAATAATTTATTTATCTTTATTTTATGTTCTTTGGTGTTTTGCCTGCGTGTGTGTCTGTGTGCAGGTGAATGTGTCAGAAGCCCTGGAACTGGAGTTACAGAGAGTTGTGAACTGTCATGTGGGTGCTGGGAATTGAACTTGGGTCCTCTGGAAGAGCAGCCAGTGCTCTTAACCACTGAGCTCTCTTTCCAGCTCCAACTTCTTATATTTTATTGCTAGTAATTTTTATAATGTATGTGCATTTATCTCATAACAGAAAGTAAGAGTAGCCTGGGCCTAGTGTTGCCGGCCTGTAACCTCAGCTCCTTAGAAGGCTAGACCAGGAGAATTGCAAGCGTAAGCCTTCCTGGGCTCCAATATGAATTCGAGACCAGTTGGACAACTTAGTGAGATCCTGTCCCAAAAGGAAGAGAAAAAAACAAACAGCTGCATTTATAACTAAGTGCTGGGATGTTTGCCTGGCATGTGAAAGGCCCTAAACTTAATCCTTAGTACTGTAAAAAATAATAGTAGTAATAATAATAACAATAAAGATAAGAAAAAAAGGGACTATAACATGAGTGAAAGACTTTTAGGTGTGCATTTAAATAGGAAGAGCCACCACTGAAAAGGAACAAGCCAAAGATGATGGGATAAATGTTGTCTGGTTACAGGAGACTTCAGAGGGTTGTCCTGTCCTGTGCAGACCTTCCTCTATGGAGAGTAAAGCTCATTCTGTTGGAGTGCAAGCTCTAAGATGCCAACTGTGTGCAAAAAGAATACGACCCAGGGCTGGTTAAGAGCACTGGCTGTTCTTCCAGAGGTCCTGGGTTTGATTCCCAGCACCCACATGGCGGCTCACAGCCACTATAGTGAGATCTGGTGCCCTCTTCTGGTGTGCAGGCATACATGCAGATAGAGCACTCATATACATAAAATAAATACATCTTTAAAAAAAAATAACAGGAGCTAGAGAGATGACTCAGAAGTTAAGATTAATTGTTGCTCTGGCAGAGGATTTGGGTTCCATTCCCAGAACCCACATGGTGACTCATAATAGTCTGTAAATCCAGTCCCAAGGGAACCAATGCCCTCTTCTGGCCTCCAAGGGCACCAGGCATGTATGTGAGGCACATGAATATGTGCAGACAAAACACTCACACACATTGAATAATAAAAGTAAATACATCTAAAAATTATTTTAAAATGTATGATCTACCATTCCATAACAGGAATCAAGAAATGTTTTCCTAGCTGGGCAGTGGTGGCGCATGCCTTTAACCCCAGCACTGGGGAGGCAGAGGCAGGTGGGTCACTGTGAGTTCGTAGGCCAGCCTGGTCTACAGAGTGAGTTCCAGGACAGCCAGGGCTATTACACAGAGAAACCCCATCTCTAAAAAAACAAACAAACAAAAGAGAAATGTTTTACTAATGGTGAAGCTATGGTCTGTTGATTTGAAAGGATCAGCAATGTGATTATTACTCTGGGAACAGACAGTTAAAAATTCATTTCCCATTCATTTACTGAATTCTCTTAGTAAAATGAGTACAGTTGATCTCTGTATGTACAGGTCTGAATTCACAGATTTGCTCAACTACTAGAAATAACCAAGATAATCAAAACTGCCTCTGTATTGAACACGCACAGACTTTTTTTGCTTCTCATTATTCCCCGCAAGGATAGAACAGCAACTCCTTAAACATCCTCCACACTGCATTGTCTAGAGATGACGACGTATGTGAGAAAATGTGGATAAATTACACACAAATAACACAAATACTGGCACACGTTACTCAAAGGACTGGAGCATCTGTCCATTTGGGCATCATCTTCAGGAGTTACTGGATCCAGTCCCTGTGGATGCACAGGGAGGACTATGCAGAAAACAGCATGATATGTTTGTTTATTCTCCAAAATGACAGGTTCACTTGTGTTATATTATGAGCACATAGCATCTGAAACAATTAGATGTTTCAATATTTTTCCTCTTGCCATCCAGTGGGGACAGGTTCTAGCAAGATACTTTACATCTCCCAGAATCCACTTGTGAAAAGCATCATAATTATCTTTGTGGTGTTCAGTCCATCTGTTCGTCTTTTCCCCATAAAGATTTAGGAGATTGCTCTAAAGGTCATTAATTCTTCAGCATGCATTTACGTAGCACGTTACCACCATGCTAGAGACCAGGTTGGCCCTGAGGAAACTGTGGGAGCCCACACCAAGGCAACTCCTTGTCCCAGGGGTCTACATGAATCTCTCCGCCAGGTGACTTCCCCTAAACCATGCATCCTAAAATTAGTCCTATGTTAACCAATGTCAGGTTCCTTAGACACCAGTCCTTCAGTTGTGGGAGCACCTCGTTATTGACCAATAGAAGCCTCCAACTGACCGGGGGGGGGGGGGGGGGGGGGGCGGCTGCGGGGCAGGACCAGACTAAGGACTGTAGAGTGGTGAGAGCAAATTCCATTCCAAAGGGAACTGGTTCCCAGCCTGGGATTCACAGTGAGGTCTTTTGGAGAGGACTGAAGGTGCCGGGTGGGGGAAGTGGGGGTGGGGTGGGGTGTCTGCTCTTAGCCACAAGTGGTCTGATTTAACTAACATGGGCTGCCCCTGGCAATCTTGATATAATCTCGAGGGAGAACAATTGTCCATAGGGACAGGAAACTCTGACAGGTGGAAGTGGTAGGGTCCCAATTACACTTGCCCCTCCCATCACCACCCTGTCTACAAAATAAATTAAATTAAATTTAAAAAGAACAGAAACAGAACAACAACAAAACCCAAGTTTTTTTGTGCCCGACCTGTTGGTACTTGTTATAATTCTTTTGTAAATACCGCTCTCCCCGCAAGCCTAAGTGGCAAGATAAAGAATTACAAAGCACTAATTGTGCCTTTTGTTACTGAACAATGTTCTGTTAGCTATGATTGCACATTCTTTGTTAAGAAGTGGAAAAGGCAGAGCCAGCTTTTAATGCTCTCACTGTGTTTACCGTTTAGAGGAGTCCTGAATACGAGCACACCGGTTTGTACTAAGGAAGGCTAAGGAGCTTGCTTGCTGTTTTCTGCTCTTGAGGTTCCTAGAGTGGGGAGCAGTGTTCACTGAAGCCCTGGCCTTCCGGGATTCATGGCGGCTCACAGGGTTCACCCACAAAGCCAGGTAACTCCTTCAGGGCGCATGCCCACTATGAAATCTCTTCCTGGGGTGTCCTGGGGTTTGCTTGCCTCGGAGGTGGGCAGTGATAACAAGGTCAATTGCTGGTGTGTCCTTGGCTTAGTGAGACCCAGCTTCTGAGCCCCTCAGTTGTTTGAGGCGGTGGCGCACGCCTTTAATCCCAGCACTAGGCAGAGCCAGGTGGATCTCTGTGAGTTCGAGGCCAGCCTGGGCTACAGAGTGAGATCCAGGACAGGCACCAAAACTATACAGAGAAACCCTGTCTCGAAACAACAAAAAAGAATTTAACAGCCCGCCTACCTGGCTGAGTCAGAACTTAGCATTGGCCGGGCAGTAGTGGCACATGCCTTTAACCCCAGCAGCACTCAGGAGGCAGAGCCAGGCGGATCTCTGTGAGTTCGAGGCCAGCCTGGTCTCCAAAGCGAGTTCCAGGAAAGGCACAAAGCTACACAGAGAAACCCTGTCTTGGGGAGTGGGAGGGGGACACACGGACGGATGACAAACTTAGCATCACTGCCTTCTTCTGAGAACAAGCCACTTTCCCATTCCAGGTCCTAGATAACAACACTTTTATTCATGATAACCCCCAATAGAAACAACCCAGTTAGTTTTTAATTATGTATATATCTGTGTTAGAATATATGCCTGTGAGTGCAGGTTTCCGAGGAGGCCGGAAGAGGGCATGTGAGCCCCTGAAACTAGAGTTACAGGTAACAGTGAGCCACTCAATGTGGTTGCTGGGAGACCAGCTCCAATCATCTGCAAAAGCAGCATGTGTTCTTAACCACTGAACCACATCTCCAGCCCTGACAACTCCCCATTGGTTACCTCTACTGGAGGAGTGGGGGTCTATTTACTGACCAGGAACGTGAGGGTACCCTCTACATACTGGAAATATTCCAAATCTTGCCTTGGGTAGTGGTTACATGGGAATGTGTGCAAAGTCAATCAGCATGATGTGCACATCACATTCTTATGCTTTCCTAAAGATATTTAAGATAAAAAATCTTAAAGTCTATATAAGGAGCCACCCCCATCACAACTGAACTCAGACAGGCGATACACTTTTGTGGTGGAGTTGCTTCTTGTGTGGATGGTTCTTTCTGGTGTGCTACAGTGTAGGTAAGAGCAAGAAAGCACTAATTTAATAGTTGATATTCCTTGTTTCAAAGGCAAGAAAACGAATGAATTAGTGTCCAATATTGCTCTGAGCCGCTAATAAAATTGCACCATGTGAGTGTACCACACATAATCTCGTAACTAGTGTTGCCAATGGATATTTGGGTTATTTCTTATATATTTTATCTTTCTTGATAGTATATTATAAATGATGTAATTGCTTTTGTTTTGCTGAGTTTTTCATTTGTTTTGTCTTGGTGGGCCTCCTTGAGCACCTACACATGTCGCATACAGACACACATGTATACACATAAATTTAAAAAGAAAATAAATCTTTGAAAAATATGCTATGCTTGAAGCAGGAAAGTGGTACATACTTACAGGTCTTTTGCATCTCCACTTCTCTTTAAAGGAGCCAAATAGTTCTGGTGCTCCTTCCTCTGGTCTCCCTCTTCTAGCCTCTCTTGCAGCTACATAGCAAGTATGTGATCTAAGCTTAAGTAGTCTTGCATGTCAGGCCCTGTGTTTCTCAATGTAAGGTGCTGACCCAAAGCAGTAAGAAGTACAGAATTAGTGGTAGTGACTACAACAAGCCCAGTCTTGGCAGCAGCAGATGGCACACTAGATATGATCCTGAGCAGTAGGTTTGGGGTGGTGCTTTCTGGATGCCTGGTTCCCTGTTCCGACTCTTCCACTGCAGTAGTAGAATGCCTGGGATTTCTGTGAGCCCTCAACATTATTTTAAAGATTTTACTTTTATTATTTTTAATTATGTGTACATGTGAGGGTATACACATATGTGTGGGGGTGCCCAAAAGAGGCCAGAGAAGATCTCTCTTGTAGCTGGAGTTACAGGCAGTTGTGGGCTGCCCAACATGGGTGCTGGGAAGTGAGTACCACTACCTCCCAGCTCATCTTCCCCTTCTCCCCCAGTACTAGGGACTGACTGAAGAGCCTCATGCGTGGGAGGCAAGCACTCTACCACTAAGGTGCCACCCTAGGCCCCCATTTTCCTAGCTCTAGAACCCCTTAAAGACTAGGAAATGTTACTTTGGGAACTACATAGTAGTCTTTCTAGAAAAATATTTGCAGATGCTCTCCGTCACTATTGCAGCTGAGGTTGACCCCTGCTTCCTGAAACCTGGGACCCTTCCAGGGCTTTTCCCTTCTTCTCCGTCATCTCCCCCTCCTCCATGTCACTCCCTCCCACCATACCCCAAGCTTTTGCTGAGCATCTTCCAAGGATGGGACAAAGTGATGGAGTCTCTACCTCCCTGTAGCAGCCTCGCTCTAGAAGCCTATGCAGTCCAGCCCGGTATCGTGGCCATCAGTGTGGTTAAGGCTTCTCCTTCTCTTCCAGGTGACAGGAATCTCTTTTCTTCCTACTGCAACAGATGTGCCTGCAGATCAGCATCATAAAAGAGGTGACGTTTCTACATTTTTTTAACTTTAGTGTGTGTGTGTGTGTGTGTGTGTGTGTGTGTGTGTGTGTGTTGCCTGTGTGTATGTCTGTGCACCATAGAGGTCAGAAGAGGGCATTGGATCCCCTGGGACTGGAGTTGTGGTTGTGAGCTGATATTTGGGTGCTAGGAATAGAACCCAGGTCTCCTGGAAGAGTAGCCAATGCGCTTAACCTCAGAACCATCTCTCCATCTCTATCTACTTTTTTTTTTTTTTTTTTTTCAAAAATAGTTAAAGAGCCCTGCCAGGCAGGAGCCATTCAGTTATGTCCTGGGCTACCCAATAACAACTTTCTCCCATAAAGTCCAGTGTCTCAAAGGCCCCAAAATTATTAGTATGGGCTAGACTGGAACTTGTTGGAATCCTTCTCTGGAAGATAAGGTCAAGCAAGCTGGAGCCCACATCAGCCCTTCCTTCATAGCTCCTCAGTACCAAAGGTCACATACATAGTGCCCCAATCCTATCCACAGCCAGGCATCTCAGTAGCCAACTTCCAATAAACATAAGCATTCACATACTGATACATTCATATCATACCAGGACAGCTTCATTATAAAGATAGATTTCCATCACTTGGGCTTTTTGTTGTTTGTTTTGAGACAGCATCACACTATGTATCCCTGGCTTTCCTAGGATTCATTATGTAGACCAGGCTGGCCTTGAATTCACAAAGATCTGCTTGCCTCTGCCTCTCAAGTGCTGGGATTAAAGACATGTACCACACCCAGCTAGAGATAGGTTTTAATTAGGTTACCAACATACTTGAACACACACTATCTCAGGTAAGATACAGTTAAACTTTTTAATTTTGCCTCATAACTTATAAATAGGCTGAACCACTAACAAAACAATAAAATCCACAATATTTTTTCCTTGAGGGAGGTCAGTTTGAATGAGCTGTACTTGAACAAATTTTTCACAGACCACAGGACCAGAATAGATTTTTCTGAACCACCAAGTATTAAGATCTCAGCAAGTTACAATCCGTTAGGCAGAGATTTGATCAGACCCTGGGACAGTCATTCCAAATCTTGTCCATCAAGAGGAGGACAGTGGAAGGTTTCCTAGGTAGCAGCCTGTCTTATTTAGGGTTTCTATTGCTGTGATGAAACACCATGACCAAAAAGCAAGTTGGGGAGGAAAGGGTTTATTTGGCTTACACTTCAACATTGTAGTCCATCACTGAAGGAAGTCAGGACAGGAACTCAAACAGGGCAGGATTCTGAAGGCAGGAGCTGATGCAGAGGCCATGGAGGGGCGCTGCTTACTGGCTTGCTTCCCATGGCTTGCTCAGCCTGCTTTCTTATAGAACCCAGGACCAGCAGCCCAGGGATGGCACCACCCACCATGGGCTGGATCCTCTCCCATTGATCACTAATTGAGAAAATGTCTTACAGCTGGATCTCACGGAGGTATTTCACCACATAAAATTCAGATTATTGGCCAGTTTGTCTTTGAATGAATCTGGCATTGCCATGCACCTAGGGGGAGTAGTTTTTAGGTGAGAGATGCATTTTAAGAGAGGTGCATTCTGTACACTGTAGGCAAGAGAGGGGAGAAACTCCTGGTAGGTGGCAGGTTTACGGATTAAGCTTTGAGAAGCGGCATCGTCTCTTGTCCCAGGAAGTTCTCTATTTCTGTTTTGCATGAATTTCTTATGACAGATAACAGAACATCCTTACCATTTCACTTCCTGCTGGTTCCCTTGGTCATTTTGATTAATTAACATCCACTTCTTACATCATGCCTATGCAAATGCTTTTTAATATTTTATTTTTAGCTATGTGTAAGTGAATGTGAGGGTATGTGCACATGGGTGCAAGTACCTGAGGAGGCCAGAAGAGGGCATCAGATCCCCCAGAGCTGGGTTTACAAGTGGTTGTGAGCCACTGGAGCTGTGTGCTGGGAGCCTGAGCAACCCTGCTGAGCCATCTTTCCAGGTTCTAATCTTGCTTTTATATTTTTTATATACTTCATTGAAATCTCAGCTTTTATATATATGTTTACTTCATGGAATTCTTTCTTTGATTTTATTGTTTTGAGGCAAGCTGTCTCTAGATAGCTCAGGCTGGCCTTGAACTCCTGATCCTCTTTTCTCTGCCTCCTGAGTGCTAGGACCATAGACATGTGCCACCATGCTGACCTCTTTCTTGTTTCCCAAGACTCCTTTTCGTATGTGTGGCATCTTCCCATCTCCTTCCCACACATCATCTCCTGTCCCTAGGCAATATTAATGTTTAGTTATTTCACGTTTTGTCCTGCCACCTGAATTAACTTTCCTCATGGTTCCTTTCCTCTATTGATTTGTCTTTCACATTGGACCATCTTCAAAAGCATTCAGTTTCAAAAAGGAGGCATTTGGACTGGAGATACAGCTCAGTTTACGGAATACGTGGATAGAATGCAGATGGCCTGAGTTTGGTCCCCGGCACTCCATATAATGTGAGTGATGGTATATGTATGCTTGTAATCCCAGCACTTGGGAGACAGAGGCAGCTCAAAGTCTTCCCCGAAGTCCTCTACTACACAGTGACTTTGAGGCCAACCTGGGCTACCAGAGACCCTGTCTGGAAAGCAAGTAAGCTGCATCTGTGTGATGGCTTGAATGAGATATACCCCCCCCCATAGGTCCAGATGCTTCAATACTTGGTCTCCAGTTGGCGACACTGTTTGGGGAGGTTTAGGAGGTGTGGACTTGCCAAAGGAGGAGGTGTGTCACTGGGGCTGAACACTGGGGTTTCTGAGCCACACTCAATTCTCAGTTTACTCTCTGTGGTTTAAGATGTGAGCTCTCAGCTTGCTGTTTCAGCCACCAGGCCCATCTGCTGCCACCCTTCCTTGACATGATCACGACAGACTGGAATTCTTGCCTTGGTCATGGTGCTTTACAAAGCAATGAAAAAGTAATTGATACCATAAGGAGAAATCCACAGAGACTGTTTAACAGGTAAAGGAATTTATTAAGGAAAAACTCACTGTGCATAACAGAATCACAGAATCGTCGCAGGTTCTGGAGCCGCCTGACTCAGTCCTGTCTCCAAAACCAGGAGCAAGAGAAGAGACCTGCCTAAGTACATCTCAGGTCTTAAGGGTCTGTGGGGCCACGCCCAGGGTCCGAGAGGCCACGCCCCAGGGACGTGTACTGCAAGGTGATAGGCAGGTGGAACAGTTACCTGCTGCCTCTCTAGGGGCGGTACTTCAAGGTCATGGACAGAACAGCTACCTACTACGTGATACATTCTGCTTGGGTGGGATCTTGGGGCCTCTAACTGTTCAAACATGCCGAACTTATTCTATAGGGCCAAGGGTTTATTCACCCTCGACCGTGAAGACAGAAACGGAGTTGGCCTTCTGAGGCCCCCCGTAGACTTGCATTCAAGCTTGTTTCCTACTTCCTGCCTCACTCTACCCTCCAGCGTGCCTGCGGCCTCCAAACCCAGCGCTCCTTTGTTCTCTGGAAACCAAGGCTGAAGATTAAGTTGCCCCTGATGCCTGGAGAGAGACAGGACCTAAATGGCAGCTGTTCTCCAGATAAACTCTCAAGGAACACCCTTAATGACTTCCCCCGACCCTGCTTCCACACTAAGCCTCATCCTTGAGGCTTTCTGAAGGGAGAGAGGACTGGTTGTTTGGCTCCTTGTCACACTATCATGAAGGTCCTTAGCCCATCACCCAGCCACACTCTGTGAGGTCCTTGTCGCTCCTTTTTCCACTTCCAGTCACCGTGTACTGTGGCTGAGACAGTGTGTCAGCCCCTTTTCTTGCACACAAATCACGCTCTGCCTCTCCTTCCACTTGTCCTGGCAGGAATACCTTGGCCCTGTCTTCTTAGAACCAAGGCTGATTCGCTCTCCCAAAGCTGATTGCCAGACATTGTTCTCCATAACCAACAAGCGTGGAAACTCCTAAAGATATTTACTGTTATGTGAGCTATCACACATCAGCACTTCTAGAACTTTTCATAGTCTGTGGCATACCTAGAAACTCAAAAAATAGACTTGGCACTAGGCAGAAAGTGATTCCCTTTTCCTCCACATCAGCCGTCTGTCGGTCTGTCCTCACTGCATAGTTTACAAGCACACACATCAGTATAATTGAAGGTCCCTGAAAAGCAAGCCAGTCCTCAGAGAAGTAAATAAGAATTGACCCATTCCATGGAGACGGAAAGAAGCAATAGTTCAAAAGCAGCTGAAATGTCAACAAGACTTGCAAAAGGCCAATCAGCGACCCCAGAATAAAAATGCTGAGTTTGTGGTAATCTTGAGCAGCTGAAGACAGACGTGTATTACAAAGAATGCAAGACAAAGCTTTGAAGCTGAAAAGCTCAGCTCTGATGAGCTGGAAAAGCAAGAGAAATAATCCTGAGCAGTTTTCCAGTTTGGAAAGATTTTGTTTATCCTTTTTCGCTAGAGTTGGAGCCAAATTTGAGTTAGATCTTAATATTCCTGACCCTGCAAGTGCTCAAGTCAATGGTGCATTTCTGGGAACAGCCTGACGCCACAGGTTGCAGGCTGAGGTAGAAAGGGGGTCTGTCCACATGACAAGCTTTGTCCCCTTCCTTCTCTTTGACCAGTGACTCCAGGACACTGGCACAGTGCGCTGTCTTCTTCCCAGGGGTCCCGAGGTCTCAGCTGCCCACGGTTTCCCTGCCTTGCTGTGAGAGGCAAGAACCTTAGAGCTGAGCAACCATTCCTAATAGACAAACAGACAGACAGACAAGCTGATGGCACACACCTTTAACCCCAGAGCTAGGAAGTAGAGGCAGGCAGATCGCTGAGACTTTTTAAGGACTACCTGGTCTACCCAACAGAGCTAGTTTCAGGCACACCGGGGCTGCACAGTGAGTCCCTGCTCCCATGAATAAATAAAACACAGTATTACATGATCCTTCAGGACAAAGACTGCGTCCGTTAATTTGGAAACCCATTTTAGTCCATTTACTCATTTATCTTAGGAGTGATTC